TTCCTTTTGGGTTTTTGCTCTGTACAGCTAGTAATTATGATTACTGATCAAAAGGGCTTCTCTTTAAATCCCTTTGCAACAACAAACCATCGTCTCTTGTTGTGGTGGCGATGGCAGAGGAGCTTCAGATTCCTGTTGCAGAGACGGTTCAAGGGATCCAAACCGGGTCTGAGGATTTCGGGTTCTGCGTCGACCCGGTTGGTGTTTCTCATGTACCAGGGATTAGGAGAGTGGGTTTGAGAGCTGAGATCGATACTTCTCCTCCTTTCGGGTCGGTTCAAGAGGCTGTGACACGATTCGGTGGTCGTGGGTATTGGGTTCCTTTCAAGCTCCAAGACGTAAGCTTTTTTTCCTTCTTTCTCTACTGATTTTTCAGTTTCAATACAAGCTACATTGGTTTGATGCATTGTGTACTAAAAGTTTGATGCTTTTGATTGTGACCATTGTTTTTAATTGAAGTTTGAGTAAAATTTCATGACTTTTCTGCAATTGAGTGGCATTTCATTATTAAAATTTCATAATTAAGGTTCTAGAGGTTTTAGCAACATATATGTAACATCTACTGTCTATGATTATTGCTTATGCAGTTGGATTAGGAGTTGAGATATAATTTTGTATATTTGTTGTTTATGTTAATTTTTTCAGAATGGTGAGGGAGAATTTGACATAAAGAGAATGGAAGAGCACGCGGCGGAGCTTGAGAAGGATTTGATTGTGAAAGAGTTAGAAACTTTGGATGTTCTTGAAGCACTTGGATCGACGAAAAGGATCGTTGAAGATTTAAAGCGGCAGCTTCATGAAGAATCCTTGAGATGCACTGAGAATCTCAGTTCAGATATCAAAGAGATGAACGATGAGGATTGTCATCGCAATCCGATGTCATCTCCTGATATGATCTTAATGGAATTGAAGCAAGCCAAGATGAATCTTGGTAAAACCATGGATGATCTTGTGATGATCCAATCATCTGTTGAATCTTTGAATAAGAAAATGAAAGAAGAGAAAGATTTCCTTGAGAAGACACGAGCGAAGCTCACGTATGGGTTTGGAGGAGCGATGTCTCTAGCTGAGGAGCTTAGTCGAATCAGGGTAAAACCGCAGGTTCTTGATGAATCGCTAAGGGAACAGGTTAAGATGGTTGCTGAAACCGATGAAACGGGTTTAAACCAGCAGAACAAGAACTGTCTGAGAACTGCAGAGATGAGATTGGTAGCTGCTAGGAAAATGGAAGAAGCTGCAAAAGCAGCTGAAGCGCTAGCGATTGCTGAAATTACAATGTTATCATCCAACGGCGAAAGTGAGGATGATGCGGAATTTTGCTTTCCAGAGCCTCCAAGATCTCCCTTAACACCGAGAGGACTAAGAAATGAATATGACTTCTCCACCAATAATAGCTCAAGAAGAGGGATTTTGAAGAAGCTTGAGGAAGCTACCGAAGGAGTTAAACAAAGCAAACAAGCTTTAGAAGCAGCGTTAAACCGAGTAGAGATTGCTAATGTGAAGCAACTCGCAGCTGAGAATGCATTCCGCGGGTGGACTAAAGACTCATCGAAAGGCGATAACTTTACGCCTTTGAATCAAACCCGACGCTCCTTTTTCAGCCATTTGCACAAGCAGCATGAGACACTAGACAATCTCCCAAAGCCAATGTTAAAGCCTAATGTCTCTATGCGTGATGTTCTAAGGCGTAAGCAAGTTCCAAAAGAAGATGTTGTTGTCCCTCAGAGGCAGAGTCTTGAAGGGCAAATGCCGAGGCGGAATGCGAATCTGAGCCAAATGTTGAAGGAATTGAAGCAGGATATAAAGTTTTCGACACGAGCCGAGAAAGAGGAAGTGCAGGAAGAGAAACAGTTCGTCACACAGAGGAGAAAGTTTGGTTTCATTCACATTACACTTCCAATGCATAAACAGAGTAAGAAAAAATCCAGCCTTTAATTAAAAAAAAACAAAACTTTCAACTATTTCTATTCCTCAATTGTTTGTTTGTAATAATAGGTTTTTGATTGGTTTTTCATTTGGTTTGATATGGTGTGATTGCTTGCTTTTCATGTATTTGTATTTTTCCAAAGAATAAATTCACAATTAAGTCTTTAAATTAAACATAATGCGAAACCTAAGTATGGTTTGGTTCTGTTAATTTGTCCACCCACTTGATTGTGTAGAACAACAATAACAGTGCAACTAAGCTGTAATTTTAGGGTGGACATATAAACAAACCGAACCACATTTAACCAAGTTGTGTAAACAAAAGCAAACCAAAACGGTTTATAGCCCAATTCGAACAAAAAATGAAATTTTGATGCTAT